CTCTCCTCACTTGGGAACTGAGTATTTCGTAATCTGTTTGACAATATTTGATAACATCGTTGACTTGAAAAAGTATCAGAATATCTCTGCGAAAGTGATTGGGTTTCAGATAATCACTTCCAAGACTAAAGATTGCGATTACTTTTAGCTTAGGATTTAAGCGATCAATTGATTTCACACGAAACGGATCCAAAGTTTTGTCACTAATTTTGGCACTTTTGGGATTGAATTGAAAATATTCGGCTCTTCTCTTATATATTGCCGAAAAGTGTGGCTTTTGTTCCAACAAATAAACAATACTTGAGTTACGGCTCACGTAATGCATTGCAAATGCTATGGTAGGCCTGAAATCGTCAAATTTTATATCTTCAACGCCAATACATTTGGATTTATAGATATTTCTGTTCTCAAACTCAACCCAATATATCTTATTCTCTATTCTCTGATCAAATCAATGAATTAATTGCAAAATTAAGGGAATTTGAAAATTTTAATAAAGTTGTAAATATATTTACGGGAATGAGTGCTGTTTTAAAGTTATTTCCTTTGTGATCATTGATTGTGAAGGCCATTGAGAACTGATCCCAGAATATATCGTTGTCTTTACCATTGTTTGTGAGCAGTTGAGCCCTATTATCAATGAGACGTTTCTCATATTTTATTTGCCAAAAGTAGCGGTCGATCACTAAATACAGAGGAGATGTGTCTTCAGGGCTGATGTGACGAAAACCAAAACTAATTCTTTTATTATTTGCATTGAATTCTCTGCAAAAGTTTATTGAATTGCAAATTGCGATCAATTGATGCAAATCTAGAATAATAGAAATTATTAATTAATTTGTACGAAATTTGTCTAATTTTTACATAAAATTGCTGTCAATAATAAAATATTTGTCATTTGTTTGATCGATAATCAAGTTTTGAATATCTTAAGGATTTTGTTGTAAGTTTTTATAAAATTGGATTTAAATACAAAATCAATTGATAACAAATCTTTTATACGGTATAATGAGTTTATGGTACTTGATATAAGTTTTACAATATTTGTTACTTTTTTAAATTTATTAAATTTAACAATTAGAAAATATAACGTGTAAAACTATTTATTAATTTATTTGATATACACGTTAAGATAATAACACTTCAATTGTTGTAAAAAACGTTTAAATTATTCAAAAATAAGTTAATATTTCAACGAATGGTTTGAAGAAATCTTATTTTTAGACCAGAGTTGAAACTAACGAGGAATGGGTTGTTGTACTTCGAGTGCCAAAAGTAATCTAAAGCCTTTACGGATGGGATCACCTCTACAGGTGGCGCAGACCATGAAGATGACTAAAAGTGGTCACGGAATCAATGCAAAAGTGGTCAGAAGACCAATGAGTCAGAAAGAGGCCGAGAAGATAGCCCGCGACCCCAACAGCGGCCCAGACTTTCAACTGGTGTTCAATCCTCCGCTCAGTATTTGCCATAAATTGACAAAATATGTGTATTTGTCGGGAATCGCGGCTCTGACTAAAGAAAACCTCGAGCATCTGGGCATCACTTTAATCATAAACGCCACTTACGAGTGGCCTAATGTCGAGCCCGAAGGCATCACCTGTTATAGAGTTCCGGTCAGTATTTCTCTGCCATTTATTAAAATTTTTCATTTTAACTAAAAACTAATCAATTGTTTGTATGAATAGTTGGACGACTCAGAAGGCGACGACATCTCCATCTACTTCGACGACGTGTCCGATAAGATCGAGGAAAACGCTCAAAACGGAGGCAAGACTTTAGTGCACTGTATGGCCGGCGCGAGTCGATCGACAACTCTTGTATTGGCATATCTGGTAAAATACGTATCGAGGAAAACGCACAAAACGGAGGCAAGACTTTAGTGCACTGTATGGCCGGCGCGAGTCGATCGACAACTCTTGTATTGGCATATCTGGTAAAATACGAGAGAATTGCGCTCAAGAATGCCTTCATATCAGTGAAGAAGCGAAGAGAGACCGCCAGACCTAATGTCGGCTTTTGGGACCAACTCATCAAATATGAGATTAAGATCAGAGGCGTTGCGTCCGTCAAAATGATTACCAAAAAAGTGGACGGCTTTGACATTATTTATCCCGATTTCTATGAGAAGGAGTTCCAGGCGTTGAGAGACAGAGAAATTAACAAACAGCTCAATGAACTGAAAGAAAAGCTCAATAATCCTAATGTTAAGTCTAAATATAAGGGTCAGACTAATGCTTATGAATAGTATTGCAAATTAAGTGTCAATTTCCCACTTTTAAATCCAATAAAATATTATTTGTCTGTTTTGTGTTAGGATTTGATTCATTTGTAAAATTTTCCATTCAAAATCTAATAAAAAAAATTAATCCAATTTCATTCATTCATTTGTAAATCCAATAAAAAATTAATTTTTTAATTAAAAATTGATCTCAAAAAATTACAACTACTATATAAATGATTACAATTGTTTTACATTGAATTTGGTTTTTAGAGGCAATTGTATGCAAAATATAGTCTTTAGATTTAATTGGAATTAACATTATTATAATAAACGAATAAAACTCATAGCATTCACAACTCTCTTAATAAATCATTAAATAATAACAAATATAAAAATGTGTTTAAATTTATAGTTTATTTAAAGGATTACAATATATGAAGAGTACATTGACAGAGACCGCTGTCTTTAATGCCGACTCTATCGCCGGCCGCACGGCTCAAGTCGAGTATCCTTCCGGGAACGAAGGGTCCCCTATCGTTGATTCTGACGGTCACACTCTTCCCATTGCACGACGCTTTCACTGTTGTGTTGAACGGAAGTGTCTTATGGGCGGCAGTCATATCATTGCCATTAAACCTCTCGCCATCAGCCGTGTACTGGCCGTCCAGTCCCACGCCATACCACGAACAGATGCCCGTCTCGTCTGTTAAGTTCTCAAATGATTATTATATACAGAATTAACACTTTTAAGGACTTACCAGAAGTAACTGAGAGAATAATGGCTGTAAAGACAACACCAAAAACTATTAATTTATTCATCTTTTGATATGTATTTCAAAAGAAATAATTGTGAATATGTTTTGCTATAATTTGGTGAGAATTTATACAAATCACAACTCATTTAATTGGGAAATAATATATAATTGCAGATGTTTTGTGATAATGAGCCCAAACACAAGAATAACAATTATGAAATTGATTATTTTATTGATAGGTTAGTGTATCAGTAGTTTTGTCTGAAAATACTCACAAAATTTCCGCAACACTTGTTGATAATAGGCGTCCTTTACTGTACTTATTCAACAAATTGATAAATAATAATCTAATACATTATAAATTTAAATAAACTACAATAAGTGATTTATAAGCACATGAATAGCTTATATTTGCAAATTAATCAAATTTTTATTGATAGTTATAATAAAGGGATTTATTCCTTGAAAACTAACATATTGTTAGAGATATTTAGATAGTTTGAAATAAATAATAAATTATCGTTATACAGTAACTATATTTAACAAAAACTATTTTACTAATGAAAGCATAACAAACGATAATTGTTGTCATTCTTATGTAAAGAGAATGTAAACCAATTGTTATTGAGTTCAGGCCCCGTGTACTGAGCACTGACAGAGACCCGCGTCGATAATACCGAGATGTCTGGCTGCCCCTTGGCTTACATCGAGGATACGCCCGGCATGAAAGGGTCCCCTATCGTTGATTCTGACCGTAACACTTCTCCCATTACAGTCCACTTTAACTCTTGTCCCAAAAGGCAATGTCTTGTGTGCGGCAGTCATAGCGTTTGGATCAAATTTCTCGCCGCTGGCCGTTAGGGCGCCCGCGAGGTTCACGCCATACCACGAACAGATGCCATTCTCAGCTAGATTTATGGGCATGAATTAATTGAATTTAAAAAATCAAATACAAACTTACCATAACTGTATTTCAATAAAATTATAACTAACATACAAACACTCAATTTTATCATTTTGCAATATTAGATGTCTGAATGTTTAATGAATATTAAACAAAATCTACTATTTGTTAAACATGTAAATCAATTCTCACATTTAAGCCTTTTATACAAGAAATTATGTGTAAATTTCCGGAACCCAAATGGCAATAAATTTAAATTATGGCAATTTCCTTACAAATGAACCTTTTTAGAATTTTATTAATCAGAATATTTTCATATTTGTAATTGATAAATTTAACGCAACATTTAATAATAATTATACCAATTAAGTAATAATTTTTCAAATGGGAAATATATTTAATTGGCAGAAATTAATTAATTTAGTTTTGTTTGTTTGCTTAACATTGATTTTAACCACGGGTTAATCACAATATACTTAATATACTGTACAGGCACGAGCCGCAAGGTACTTTTCAATGCCATTATATAAGTTATAATTTATAACTTATAAAATATTTGTGGTTAATTTGGTAACAAAACAAAATATTATGATAACTAGAAAACGAGTTTCATATTATTGTGGTCAGTATTGGGGCGTTTAAAACGGAGGAAAAGTAATCAATTATTGGCAATATACGGCTACATTCAAGCGAAAGTATACACCGTAATATGCGAATAAAAACTCACTGGGTGTATATATTTTAAATATGACTTCAGCATGTTGAAGCCAGATAATGATCAAGTATTTTGGTATACATAAAGTCATATTCAACTATCTTGGTATATTTTTAAAATTGATGTCATTACAGACTAATATTTCCATAGAAAAACAATGGGTACTTATTGTCTAATAAACTGAAAATAAGTAAAATTTTAAAAAATGCAAATATACGTGTCGACTTATTTTTAACGCTGGTTTGAATGGTGAAGACAGAATTGAGCTAAAACTTTTAGTTTTTGCTGTACAGATATTGCTTAATTATAAAGCATATTATTGAGCTCGGCCAAAAATATTTTGTTATCATATGTACACTATTGTTCCATATTTGTGTATGAAATTATACTATATTAACTTTATTAGTTAGGAAATTATTGCAATTTTATGTGAAATTTTATTTATGTTCGGTTTCTTGGACAACAAGTTTCCATTGTTTTCTATGGAAATATTAGTCTGTAAAAACATTACATTAAAAAATATACCAAAATAGTTAAATATAACTTTATGTACACCAAAATACTTGATCATTATCTGGCTTCAACATGCTGAAGTCAGATTTAAAATATATTCACCCAGTTAGTTTTTATTCGCATATTACGGTGTATACTTTCGGTTGAGTTTATCTGTATATTGAAACCATTAAAACTTTTATTATTTGCAGACAAATTATAAAAGTTATAAATTATAAGAGTAAATAAGACTCAATTTTAATTATTCAGAAGATAATTAATTAAAAAGATCGTGTTTAAACAATAGTTAGTTCTAATTAAGGCTAGGATTTTGTTGCTTTTTGAATGCTATGTAACTTACAGAAAAAGTGGCTTTATATACAAGTAATATTTTATTCATTATAGAATCAATTTTCATATAATTTAATATAGAATTTTCCTATTTTTGGAAGAATTATGTATATTCTGCAAAACATAAAATTTAATGTTATTTTGTCAAATCAATAGACAAAACATCTGTCATTTTCGTATTTAAATATAATTTTTATACTTACGTATAATATTTTATACTTATGTATAATATTTACTCAAATAATTGAGATTAAAATACAGAATCACATGACTTTAGTATATAATAGTTATTATTACGACAATCATGGACTTATAAATTATAAGTTATAATCAGTTGAAATGCGTATAAATTATATATTAAATAATCAAATAATACAGAAAATAATTAATACCTATACTTAATAGTCACATGTGTATGTGTAAAATCACATGTAATTTATAATAAAATACTTATTCAACCAATAATTAAGGAATTTTTTCAAATCTATTTCTACCAAAAAAATACAAAAGATTTATTTTTATTAAAATTTTAATTATAATTAAAAGTATATTTTTTATTGCAAGTCATGAGCAGTGCTTAAATGGGTGTCACAGTACAGGCGGCCACACCAGCGCTGATAATACCGAGCTTTTCTGCGGCCCCTTTGCTCAGGTTAAGAGTAGATCACAAGAATTGTTATCACTTTTGATGGACTCGTAAACAACAAATAGTTATTTACGTAAATTGTTATCATATTTTAATGTTTATATTTCGTAACAATCATTATATTTTAATATTATTTTTTAATTAAAAATGTTAACAAATATTTGAGAATTTAATGATATTAATACATGTATAAAGTACATGTATGTATTAGAAATAATACTAAAATTTACAAGTTACATCTGTACATGTA